ATACAATGCACTGAATGTGAGCCTGGAATAGGGCAAAAAAACAAAACCTGACTCTTGAGACAACCCTTAATTACATTTAATTCTCTGATAGCATGATGATTTCTACTTCCAGCAGAACTTCTCCCTGACCTCTTAATTGCTCTCTGGATTGGACCTTTTATCTGTAGCTATTTCTTCTATATGTTGATGATGGATGTGTGCACAATCATTTTAATAAAACAGTGATTTTTTTTTTTCCTATCCATTCGCATGCAGTGTGTTTGAATATTTTTGGATGCATGGACTTTAAGCGTATCTCCAGGCAAAGCTCTGCACAGTCAGGAAAATGGATCCACAATTCTGTGGTTCAGCTTAACAGCTTACTGGGTTATCTGCCTCCTTCCTAGACAATTCATCATTATAATGATAGTAATTTATTTTCCAGTGTACAGCTGAAAGCAAAGTGACACTGGACATAACAAAGCTGAAGCAGGAAATATATTTTGTTATGAAAACTATACTGATATTACATTTCCTATTACTGAACAATTAAAAACTGTCTGAGCATCCTACAGGTCTACTCAGATGGTAGTTGAGTTAACCACGTATAGTTAAAGAAGTCCGGGCATATGAAATCTTAACCCTTGCAGTGGGGCACTGCAAGGGTTAAGTGCTAGTTTTGTCTAGGAAGCTAAAATATCAAAGATTTACTCACCCAAAACTCAGACCGGGCTGTTTGCTAGACCATTCCCTGCAGCCTTTTTCCCCCATCCCTTTGCTGGCCTAAGAACCCATGAGTCATCAGATCCAATACAGTGTATTGGGCGCCGAGGAACTTTCCACCGTCAGAGCGGAGGAAGAGAGAAGCTGCAGGGGCCGATCTAGCAGCCAACTCTTGCAGTGTGGTGGGCAGAGTATATTGTAAGAAACAGAAGGATGGGAAAATAGATGATAGGTTGGATGAACTGTAAAACAATAATCACCCAAAGCAAAATTTGCTCTTTCAATGGAATGTCCAGGTCCGGAAGTCGTTGTGCAATAAAGCTGAACTCCAGGCAGATATAGAAGACATTGATGCAAACCTAAAACACAATTAATAATAATAAAAAACAATCTGCATTCATTTTAATTTAATTGTATTTCTATGGAAGCAGTGTAAGGGCCTCAATGTGACCTGGTATCAACCTCTTGCTGTCCCCATACAGCCGAGTTGTTTATGATATGATGACTTTTTGCATTTCCCAGTTTGTTAAAGCAGGGGTATTGGAACAATGCTAAACTATACTGTGTACTGCCTAACATATGGATTTTACCTGAAAGTCTTCTGCTGCTAACATTCACAGCCTTATTTTACCTAGCTGAAAATATGCCACTGGATGTAAATTGGTAGAGAAATCGTACAGCAGTATTGCTTTATTAGCATTTATTAATTTATTGCGAAAAGCATTCTTGCCTTTGGGGCTAATTCATAACTGCAAGCTACCTGTCAGGTCAATTAGGTGGTTGCTAGCCACCTGGAAACAAGAGCTTGGACAAAGGGCCACTTCAACAGCAAGCCATGCACCACCTGAGCCCCTTAAGTAAATCAGATTGGCCCAAGCTTGTTGCTAGGAAACAAATCTCCCAGTAGCAGTAGACTGCTAGTATCTCAGTGCTGACATATATGTGCAATATCTGGACTGAACAGGAAGCTCCGGAGACGATTGCAACTTTAATACTGCTGTTATTTTCAGTAATTGTCACATTTCTTTTACTGTTGCTTTTCGTTGTCTTGCAAAATACAAAGGTCCAAATTTAAGGAAAGGCCTCCTAGGACTTGGACTAGAATGGCAGATTTGTAGAGAAGGTTGCTTGCTAGCCATATATAAAGTCGTGATCCTTCGTGTATTTATCTACAGATGTTTTACAATCCATTTTCCACTTGCTTGTAAGAATTCAAAGCTAAAAGCCATGAACAAACCAGTCTCTAAACTGAATCTTCCCAGCTGCACCCTGAAAAACCTAAAGCCACCTAGATGGTATACAAGATTGCCCATCTTGAAAGCAGTCTTCTTGGTTACTCAAACACAAGAGTATTGCCTTTTATTATCCCCCATTTTTCCAATGCTCAATTATTGTGTCCAAAAGTTCAATTTTAGCTTTGAACATCTTGGACTATGAATGTAGCTTCATCAGGATTGAACTTGTGCATAAAGGTATTAAAGTGACATGAAAAGCTAAAGCCCCCCCCCCCCCCTCCCACAGTGCTAAGGTAAGGACTTAACTTAAATTATGCCTCTTAATCCGATCATCTTCTTCTTTCCTGTAGTTTTTAGCTGTCTCTCCAGCGCTGGTGCGGGTCTCTGATCCAGCGCTGATTCCTCTGTCCTCCTTCTTGCTCATGTCCCACGGAGTCTGTGCGGGTGCACGCTGCTCCATAAACTTACCTTGAGTCTCTCCTAGTCTCCCGGCCGAACATCTGAACTGCGCATGTGCCCGCCCCAAGATCCTTTGCGGGCGCCCGATAAATTTTCAGATGTTCGGACGGGAGCACACAGTGGAGACACAGGTAAGTTTTTTTTGTTTTGTTTTTTTTTATCGTTTTGAATGTATCTAGTGCTCGCTAGCACTAGATATATGCAAAAACAAATGAGGGTTTAATAACCCTTTAAGTGAAAAAAGCACAAGCAGATGAACGCATTAAACTGTTACTAGTTCTGAATGGTTTGGTATTAAATGTACTATGCAAACACTTAGGGTAAATTTAAAAAATGACTAGTAAATAGAGTTGCATTTATTGGCATTTGTTGTCATTCACCAACATTATTCACTACATTCACCGCATTTGTTGTCATTCACCGCAAGTGTTTATGTTTAGTGTTTAAAGCCCAACTCAAGGTTAGGCACAAAGCTCAACACTACCAACTTGAGCTCTAATCCTTTGTATATATATATATA